TATATATATATATATATATATATATATACATGTCATAATTTCTATCCGAATGATACACATACAAACTCACACTTGTACGTACGCACCAATACTACCATAATCTCAAGCAAAACTTGAACACAGGCGCAGACAATATGCAGCTACGAACCTCTTTGGAACACAACCCCCAATAGCAGAATCGTACATATATTCACAGTCGCACTCACATGCATATCTACCATACAAGGTGTCAATTGACGAGCACGAACAACTCGAGAACACCGTTATCGAGGCATAGACCTCACACGCACTATCTTTCATCGAGAGTTTGTGCAATCAGACAGAAAAACTTGGGATACCGTGCGCACGGTTTAACCAAAGGCAGTGGTCCACTACACACGGAACTGGCCTCGGTGCATACATGCTCACAACAATGATAGGGTGATGCACAGAGCCGAGGTCATTCTGCACGGTGAGCGACACCAAGCTTTCATACATAGCCGTAAAATCAGAAAGGAAATAAGCTATAGAACTGATACAATCTTCATCATTTATCACCAGATGCCAGAGTCTCCAGAGTCCAGACTCACTCTCTCATCTTAACAATCTCATGATAAGCCGTCTATGTATGATTGTGTTGATAAGCCCATTTACATATTGCGGTGTAATGACATGGTCGCTACATACGAATTCGCTGAAGCACCGATCCGGGTTTCCCTTGCGCAGCAGTAGGTCGACCACATCCACGTGACACTCCTCTGCAGCTCTCAGCAGCGGTGTGTAGTCACCCTATAACATGTGTAACAACATGGTTAATGTATCCATGAGTAGCAGCTCAGGTCTTGCTGTGTGAATGAGCTACCTGATCCAAGCACTTCCTATCCTACACCTGATCATGCTGTATTTATAGTACGATGTGACATATGAAGTATATGTGAAGTCTCAACGATTCGACATATGGATGTGTACAGGTTACCAAACTATATATGGCTATTGGCTTTCCGCATTAAACGTCTTACTGAAATAGTCCATGATCGGCGAATATCTACATATTAATTGTACGATGTGACATATGACGTATATATGAAGTCTCATACGATTCGACATATGGATGTGTATTGGATACCAAATTATATATGGCTATTGGCGTTCCGTATCAAACTTCTTGCTGAAATAGTCCATGATAGGTGAATAGCTACAAAAATCCCAGGAATACACTCTCTACTCCTGCACAATACAAACGCCCATTCATTGACAGACATGACATGTGTTCACCTATTCGCACCAATGGCTCCCAAAAAAAAAGTTCCGTACATTCCGTACAGCTAGGCACGCACAGGTCACCACTAGTTAGTTGACACCCACGCACATCGCCGCAATAAAAGAAGGTGTGGCACTGCTGTCGTCAAACATATCACGTCACAATACTGGAATCTACTTGATCAATCACTCACACACACCAAAATAACAATGTAATAGAACAAACGCTTATCATAGCTAACCTTGCTGGCGATATTGCAATCCGCGCTTGCCTCCAGTAAAGCCGATACGATGGCGCTGTGGCCTTTGATCGCCGCTCGCAGAAGTGCAGAAACACCCGACTGTATCAAAAATCAGGAACAATGTATAAGATATGTATGAGACCAGAATAGAGCGGATTTATATGTACGTAGACATCAGTGTACGCACACACGCACACATGTGTGCTAGAGAAGATACATTTGACCCACACTTTTAGAGTGGCTAATGAATTCGCAATGTAGCACACAAGTCATACTGTGGCTCAAATGGCTCAAAAGTGTGGGCTTCGAAGTGTAAAGTTATGAAGTCGGGAGGTGCGGTTGGATGACAACACTTGTTCGAGCACATGCTGAACTATTAGCAAGTGATGGCCATGTCATAATGGCAATCCAAGTACTACAAATTGTTTGCCCATAAGGACAACTGACAATCTCACAATTATGGCCAGTGAGGCTCAATTCTAGTCACAAGATATATCTTCAATATAGGCTTTCCTGTATAAGCCACTCTTGGATAACACCGTCGTGAGCACATGTACATACTTTTGGATGTGGAAATCTACCGTACCTTGGTTGATGTTGCATTGACATCAGCCTCTCTCTCAATAAGCAAGTCCACCACATTCGCATGCCCTTCGTGGGCGGCTCTCATTAGGGCAGTATAGCCCTGGGCCTTAAAGGGAATAGACGTGTGCATGTGTTTGTGAGCTCTCATATACCTTGAAGTGTGTATATGTGTCTAAGTATATAGGAAGCCCGTGCATATTTATATTTCTAAGTAATGCGCAATAGACTACATTGTTTTGTACATAAAAATGCATTATATAAACATATATGTATAATTTATTTTTGGGTATAGAAGAGTGTACTTCGAAATGTTTCATATTAGAGAATAGATTCTACTAGATAGACGATTGTATGCAAATTAGGATTAGACCGACAGATGTCAAAGATACATTATTAGTACATTGTTTTATCGGCGCGTTTAGGTGTGTAGCTTTCTAATTGCGTTTGCCTAACTCGCGGTAGCATGCAAATATCTCTACCTATGAGCACGTTGTTAAACTTATTGTGTCGAAAGCTCACACCTTGCACTTGATTTCTGTGTCCGCCCCACAGTCGAGAAGAGAGCGTACAATTCCGAAGTAGCCTCGGTGGGCGGCACGCATTAGTGCGCTGTATCGGTACTGATAGGAACATACAACCGTGCCACGTGATACGTGTGTGAGTTAAAAGGGCATTGAATCCATATGATGCCAGTTACAAGCTGATAATATACACGTAATCGATGGGCTCAGGCTCTAGTGCTCGCAGTAGACTTCAATAAGGTGAAGTGAGGGTAGAATATCTTGAAGGAACCATTTGCGTAAGTTGTGAATACAATTCGCCACACTTAATATTTTAAAAACAAATCAAAGTCAGGATAACCTGCCTTATCGGTAAGATCGACCGTCGCACCATACTCCAACAATACGTCGACAATATCAGAACACCCGGTGGCAGCGGCTGCCACCAGTGCGCTTCTCCCGTGCTGTATGGGTAGGAAAGATAATCGAAAATTAATGATCTAGACACATAAACACCCCATTCTTGCTGTCTCTCAGGTTGTACTCAGATGGTTGCGGAGCCGTATACTCCCAATTCAGATGGCTCCCCTGAGTGGTGTTTATGTACGTTTAACCAACGATATTGATATTACCTTGTTTTGTTGTGTACCTCACTACAATTCTACAAACAAGACATACCCGTCGAACCCATCTGCGTGGGTTCCGATGTGCTGCACGTTAGTCGCTTCTAGTACCCCACTCGCCATTAAATAAACCTGATAACGTCGATAGCACCACAACAAAATTGCAGGTGGAAGTGTGTGCATCGGACTCCATCTATGCAAGTGGACGCAACTAAATTCCGAATGTTCCTATGTCTCGTGAAATTTAATACATGCAACTATCCATATGCGCCTTTGAGCACCTAAAACTTCAATCCCTGATCTATACCTGATCGGTGGTGTCCACATCCCAGCCATTGTCCAAAAGTTTGACTACAGCTGGCAGATTTTTCTCTTCGACGGCAGTGATGAGATCCATTGCATGAGCTACCCTGTTGAATTGCATTGTACGAAATGAAGTGCACAGACGGAGGTTATTGACGTAGGAATCACGAGAGCAAGCGCGGATATTAACTCAAAGCTGCGCCACATGGGATACTACAAGATACTACAGTATAACCTGGGAAGGAAAACCAAAGCCACTTCGCATCGACGCATACATACAGGGGACGTTGTGATGTAACACGACAGAACGTATCTCGTTAGTAGAAGCCACCACACGAACAGTTCAGGCATCGTAACAGAACGCAGCTCTAATATTACAAGTGATGGATCGATACAAACTGGAAGTACTTACCAACTTTAAATTGCCAAGTAGCGTTGTGACCGTGCGAGTGCTTCTGTGCGTGGGCTGTTTTGTATACCAAGCACGACCCTACCCTGTGCTTTCCATTTCGGCATATGTCTGCCTCCCATCTCAAGTATATGCACTTTATTGAGCCCAACATTAAAACTAAAGTGTTACGTGTGCTATAGTGAAGTACGGTATTTATATTGTACTTCGACTGCGGCTTCGTATCGACTCACAAATCTGTCACCATTGGCCATTCTCAGTTTCATTGATCTCAGAGATTGCAGTCAGTGGTGGAGAAACGCCGCCTACCATATTTAGTCACAATCTACTCTCAACTTCCAATCCATTATTCTATTTTTGTTTTCTTTTTTAAACGTTAAACAGCACCATGACCCTCGCTAGTAGCGTAAAGTTAAGGGAGAATGGACCATCAAGATGGTCGTGACAGCAATAACCCTATTGCGTTTGTGGCGATATAAATAGGTTGTGTTCACACTTCACTACTCTACTATGTAGTTAGTATGAAGTGTCTAGCGGAAAAAAAAGTACGTGCTGATGCCTGATGATGCAGAGACTATCAAGTAACAGATAATTATGCGTGTATACTTCTATTGCCTTTTCGAAGAATCGCTTGATTGAGAAAATGATCATCCTGCCACTATTAATATATGGACATCGAAATTCCACTTTCCACCTTCAAGAAAACATGTGTGGCGTTGTGTACACGTATATCAGTCAATACGTGTGTGTGTGAACAAACGCGCAAACTAACATAGTTTCTTCATTTATGTATATAGTATGTCTGCGCAAATACCCTAACAACGCGGGGAGGTTTTGAACTACACTAAAAAGTCTGGAAGCAGTGCTGTACGCACACCGGCAGATGTAACAATTGTGGATACATGCACAACCGTTCGAATCTAATTCTGTACACAATTGAAAAGGAGTTGATGGAACAATATATTCCATAAAAAACTGTGATAGACTGGAGGCATCTCTGATATCATCCGATTAATATTCTGGCGTACAATAACCAAATGCGTACTTTGTGATGTTTCTTGTCAATCAATATCACGATGCGCTTGTATTTATGCTATCCTTGTGGGAATCATCAGTTTGCCAGGTAAAGGCTTAAGAGTTGTGCAAGACTTGGGATCAACTATTTATTAGCATTAATTGTCATTCACAAAGACAAAGAGAGAAGAAATTGGTGTCAAATTGGGAAATATGTACGGTGATTTTACTTGGGGGGGGTGTGACAGCCACTGTGGCCTGTGTCACACCAAATTTTATCATATTTTATCACAGGAATGATATGCCAGGATGGTATTATTCGACATTTACTGTGTGACAGTCCGACAGAGGGTAAATATTTATTTTGAAACTACTACGTGACTGGTGGGCATTATTTGACGCAATATGACACTGTTGAGTGTGGACACTTTGCTTTCGTATAGCGGTGTAATTATTGATGATGGATGACGCTTGATCTGTGGCAAAATGTCTGCCGCAACCAGTTAAAATATAACTAAATAAGTGCGTAGTAGTACAGTTCAGCATAATATTGTTTCGCGGTCTTGCGGTGCCCTAGAGGGGAGGGGTCAAGCCGCTAAGGGTGATGAATTAAGGGAAAGCTCCTGTTGATATGCATCTATAAGTGTCGTCGTTTCCATATACACATATAGTCACATCGCATATATGGTACGTATTCAACGTACATGCGTATGTTTAGATATTCTATCCGCACTTACCAGTGTTCTAAGTGAAGCTACTGTCAGATAATTATTCACTAGTTACACTGAAAGATATTTAACTATATCTGCTATCTTGGATCTCGCTTAGACAGTGTTCAGGACAGAAAAAACTACATAAATATAGACTTTATTAACTAGTATCGCCTAGTTAATTTGTAACTTTTTTGTTTGGTTTCATACATTGCACCCGGTACCGCAATTACACCCAACGCCACACTTTGCACATTCAAGATGGCCTCCGCAGCTTTGATGTTTCGAGGAATGGCTCGTTCTCGCACTGTACACTACGTGCGTACGTACAATGTGGCACACCCGCTGCAGTACTCAACATCCACCACCCGTCCTGACAAAACTGGATACGGGTTTTCGGTGATCAAGGGAGAGGGCTACAATATAGGCAATCGTCCTCAGCTGAAACCACAGGACAATAGTTCGGGTACTGTTGATTTGGCCAAGCACAAGGCCACTACTTGGCCAAGGTGTGTAGTTTAACTAGCGGTTGTATCCTCGTATCTATCTCATGTGTTCCCTCCATTGATGTCCACAAGTTTATGTGTTTTCGAATTTCGCATTAACTAAGTGAAACATGAGATGAGGGGTTGGCTTGTGTACAGTACAACTGTTGCATTTGAATTTGTATAGTACTTTGCTACTCTTTAATTTTCATTTAAAATTTTACTATGCCGTAAATATCTATGATTGTTATTCTGAATATTATTGCTTCGCTGATTTGCCGGTATTTAAGCTATGGTATTCACGCTCGACAGGGTAGGTGTCCCGCAATCAAATTTGACACAGCATACACGTTTATGATAGTACTAGTGGTTTAATATTCCATTGGTCATTTGTATATGTGATTTTCTACCTATATGTATGTATGTATGTATTTTTCTACTTGTTTGTTTGTATGTGTGATTCTACCTGTATATATACATGTGTTTTTCTACCTGTATGCATGTCTGTGTTATTCTACCTGTATATGTATGTGCTTTTCCTCCTGTATGCATGTCTGTGTTATTCTACATGTATGTATGTATGTGTTGTCCTACCTGTATGTATGTATGTGTTGTCCTACCTGTATGTATGTTATGTGTTAATCTTCCTGTATGTATGCATGTGCTCAACTACCTGCCTGACCGTGTGGCAAGATATGCTTATACTTCATTTTGAAATATCAGCCCGTTGCTATTCGTTTCACGAGACCTTTCATTATATACAATCAACATACTCACTCTTTCATACGTACACTGTGGTATCTCAGAGAGGACACTATCGCCGCATTCAAAGACCACGCGCTGTTCTCATGGGGTTCGCAGGAGGGAAGCATGGCCACGGCTGTGCATGTGAAGGAAACGAAGGGTGTGTGGTGGTACGATCATGACGGACGGGACTACATTGACTGGGGATCGGGGGCTGTAAGTTGAATTCCGCGTTCGAGCTGTTTTGATGTAGTGTTGCATATTTGGTACGAAAGGTAGCAGGACAATTAACACTTAATTTGGACAACCCTCAGATACAGATGATGGTGTCCAAAGCATGTTTAGATTTTTTTAGTTTGCAAATACCCGTGTATGCGTAAACTGGAGCATGCATTGCGAACGAGTATGAAGAGTCAAAGGTTGTTCAGGTGTGGACATGGTTCCCGTCGTTAAGATATAACGTGACATTAATCGATTATCCTCAGTCTTTCGCTTCTTGACTGCTAGGTATATACTGTTATATTGAATAACAATCATTTAGGGTATGGGTCTGCACCAGAGCGAATATATATAGTACTGGTTGAGGCTGCTGTAGTGTTTACGATACAATGCAGCTCAATATCTGCTACGGTGTAGGATATACGGGTATTTATTCTGACGAAACAGGATAGTATCCATGTGCCCAGTGCTTATTTGTGTATGTTAAGACTCTAGACGCTATTAGCGCGAACTCGGACGTGTTGCTCGCTCAAGCTCATTGGGTGGTCCCGTTTTGCATCAGAAATGTATATTCACGCCGACTAACAGCATAGTTTGATGCAAGTATTCATCAGCACCTTGTTTTTGGGTTGCCCATACACGCACAGTGTCTGTATCAACGCATGCACTTCGAAGAAGCATACACTGCTCTGTATGAACACATCCTAAACACACACTGCTTTGTATGATTGCATTCTGAGCTGATACTGAGCTTTGTACGGGTCAACCAGGAACCTGCGGTACTCCTTTCAGTGTGTAGCGCAATAATATCCAACAACAGCTTCTCATGGAGTACCGCTGTCCTGTAGTCGCAGATTACTTATATAATACCAACTAAAAGCTGACTCACAATACAATACAAACGCACAGTTGGCAGAGCGACATGTGAGTTGCCTCGCCGTCATCACTGGTGGGGTCCATTGTAGATTTCTCATAGATATCTATATATATATGTGTGTGTGTGTGTGTGCGTTTGTGCGTGTCAATGTGTGAGAATATATATTTATATATATATATATGTGTGTGTATGTCTGTATATATATATATATATATATATATATTCATTGTTAGTTCTTAGCCACGTGTATTATTCAATCGTAACATATGAAGTGATATATGCGCTTGTCTTCCGCAGCCTTCCCGATACCTACCCCAATATACTTGCTAACCTTATACCCATCCCACGAATCCCATCACAGGTGTGCTCAAACCTAGGGCACACCATGCCTCAGCCCATTAAAGACGCCATCAACGCGCAGATTGACACCGTTCCCTTTGTGTACGGTGACACGGGTCTGGTAGACGTGCGTGCGCGTTTGAGTGCGTTGTTGGCTGAGCTTTGTCCGGCGGATCTGAATGGATTCCTGTACGCCAGCAGTGGTGCGGAAGCGAACGAGGGAGCTATTCGGTTGGCACGCTCATACACGGGGAGGTAGGCGGTCGTGTGGGTTGATCCGTGGGTTTTAACCATCAATAGTATATATAGCACACCCAAGTTTAATATACATATATACTGGGATACATAGCTTACGAGTGTATGTATCACACGATAGGTGTGTATGTTTCCTGATAATTATGCTCTTATAAGTAGGCCACAATACATTTTATATAGGTACATACATACATGAATGCATACAAGCATGTACATATTTATATATGTATATTTA